CGAGCTGGGGCTGCAGAGGCTCCGGCAGCGACCCGCGCCGCCTTCTTCCTCAGATGGGACCAGGTCACCCGCAGCGCAGAGGTCAGGGAGGCGGAGCCAGAGGTCTGAGATTTCTCCGTCGCCCGTGGAATCTGTAGTCCAAGACGGAACAGTCAGGACGGCAGGCACCCCTGAGAAGTGGAGTCCAGAGTCCTAAAACCAACAAGAAATACAGCAGTGATCACGAGGACCGGGCGCCCCGCCCACCGCCCGAGCCCCGGAGACTTCTGGGAGTGGCCTCCTGACCTAGGAGTACGCATGAGCAGATCGGGCAAATGCTGGGGCCCCTGTCTTGATGCCAAGGATGGAGTCAGTGCATTCTCAGGGCCAGTAGGAGGCGAGTCTGGGTGGAACCTGACCCGGGTAAAAGAAAAATGTTAGGTAAATGGACTCAAGTCCTACAGAAGTTACTTAAGTCCCATCACATTCTTCAGTACATTATGTTCTTCACCTTTGGACACGAATACATATGATTAAAAATTTTATTTAAAAACATCCGAATAAATACTTTCATTATTTTTGTTTTGGAATAGGCTTATTTTTGCTTTGTTTTTGTTTATGTTTTCAGACGGAGTCTCACTCTGTTCCCCAGGCTGGAGTCCAGTGGCGTGATATCGGCTCACTACAACCTCCCCCTCCCGGATTCAAGTGATTCTCATGCTTCTGTCTTCCGAGTGGCTGGAATTACAGGCGCCCGCCACCATGCCCGCCTAATTTTTGTATTTTTAGTACAAACGGGGTTTCACCATGTTGGCCAGGCTGGTCTCGAACTCCTGACCTCAGATTATCGGTCCACCTCAGCTTCCCAAAGTGCTGGAATTACAGGCGTGAGCCACCACACCCGGCCAATACCTGAAATATTTTAAGAATTCTGAAAATCAATAAATGAGAATGCAAAAAAAAAAAAAAAATACAGCAAAGACATCATTAAAAAGCACAGTAAAGAAAACACAATTGGGCCGGGTGCGGTGGCTCAAGCCTGTAATCCCAGCACTTTGGGAGGCCGAGACAGGCGGATCACGAGGTCAGGAGATCGAGACCATCCTGGCTAACATGGTGAAATCCCGTCTCTACTAAAAAATACAAAAAAACTAGCTGGGCGAGATGGCGGGCGCCTGTAGTCCCAGCTACTCGGGAGGCTGAGGCAGGAGAATGGCGTAAACCCAGGAGGCGCAGCTTGCAGTGAGCTGAGATCTGGCCACTGCACTCCAGCCTGGGCGACAGAGTGAGACTCCGTCTCAAAAAAAAAAAAAAAAAAAAAAAACACAATTGGCCAATAAACACATATGAAAAGATGCTTGACTCACTTGTAATCAAGGTAATAATTTTTTTTTTTTTTTTTTTGAAAAAGAGTCTCACTCCAACACTCAGGCTGGAGTGCAGTGGCATAATCACGGCTTACTGCAGTCTCGATTTTCCAGACTCAAGTGATCCATCCACCTCAGCCTCCCAAGTAGCTGAGACCGCAGGCGCATGTCACCACACCCAGCTAATTTTTGTATTTTTTGTAGATATGAGGTTTTGCCATGTTGCCCAGCCTGGTCTTGTACTTCTGGGCTCAAGCAATCCTCCTGCCTTGGCCTTCCAAAGTGCTGGGATTACAGGTGTACCGTGCCTGGCCCAGTGTAATAAATATTGAAACTTATAGCAGAGGTCGGGAAATATGAACATTCATATTCAATGATCGAAGGGATTCAAAACTGGAACAATGGTGGAGCCACAATTTGGCAATAAGCAGTGAAGCTGAATGTGTATACAGCCTATAACGAACAATTTCATTTCTAGGTAATACCTTAGATTTTTTACTCTTTAAGGAAATCAGAAAATACACAAAATGATATTCAATATAGCATCTTTATTACCACAGAAACTCATTTATGTCCTTAATCATTGTTTAATATTATATATAAGCATGTTTAATACAAACATCAAGGATCAGGCTGGAATCTTTTCAATTCCATAGAAAAGCACTAACCATCCATTAAAGCAGGTAGCTACTTTCAGAGCATGATGTGAGCGGCAAAAAGTTGCCCTGACTTACTACCCCCCAACACCACCACTCACCATAATGTCTAAAATTACACCCTTGAAGACATTTATTATGGTTATGGAGCATCTACCAAAGCAGTTCCTATTCCAGATATTGGGACTGAGAATTCCACAATAAATTTGAGATACACTCAGTTAAATAAAAATGTCTTTACTAAATCTTTGACAAACTGATCATATATACTTTGAATTCCTCAAAAGTAGTTTTTCTTTTTTT